CCGAAGTCGGACGCTCAACCGACTGAGCCCCCCCGGGCGCCCCTTATCTTTAAACCAGTAATTATACCAGTTCCCTGACAGAACTTCTAAGAGAAGAAAACGAGATCCCCCACCACGGGGATGCGACACAGTGCCTGGCACATAGTAGGTGCTCAGTACATGGGAATGGATTCGGAACTCCTGAGCTGCTCCTCTCCCCTACCCAGGAACCTTCAATGGCTCCCCATTGCCCTCAGGAGCACATCCACAGTTCTCAGCCTGCGTGGCCTCTGCCCTCTCCACTCCAGCCTCGTCCCTCTCACCCCCCACACTCCAGCCCCAGAGACCTAACCCCCTCTCCCTGTCCTTTTGCACCTGCTGTTCCAGTTAGCTAGAACACCATTCTCTGTCTTCTGCTTGGGGAACACCTTCCTTATCTTCAAGATCCAGCTTCTGTGTTGCCTTTTCTGGAAAGCCTCCCTTGACCATGGCCGACTGGGCCAAGGCCACCCTCTTCAGGGCTCCCACAGTGACCTCTACTGTCCCCATCAATGCAGGGTGCGCCCCCCCCCCAACTCCTGAGACCGTCTCCACTACTTATAAGCTGCGTGAGGCCTATTTAACCTTTCTGAGGCCTCAATATCTTCCTCTGTGAAATGGGGATAAGTGACAACAAGCAACACTGATTCTGAGCCCGCAGCCGTGCTAAACGTTTTACAGAACGGGCTCCACTTCTTTGTCATGACCACCTCGTGAAGCGGGCGTGGCTGCATCCAGAACGCTGTCTGACTGTCCATTTGCTGCTCCTACACCAGCGCCTGGCACATCATAGGCGTTCAAGACCTATGTGTTGAAAGAGCAAACTCATGCATTTCCAGTTTTACAGATGAGGAAACTGAGGCTCTCAGAACATAGAAGGCGCTTAGGAAATGCTAGTGAGTCTTGTGAGCAACACTATGACCATGGTTGTCATTCGTGTAATTCTCAGAGTCCGTGTCAAGCCCAGTTCAGGGCCTGGCCCGGAGGAAGCCTGGCCGGGGTGGAGGGTGGCAGGGAAGTTAAAGGATCAAACCGTAGGAGCGACTCGGTGGGCTCTGTTGGTTGAGGGTCCGACTCCTGACTTTGGCTCAGGTCATGATCTCGTGGTCCGTGAGTTCAAGCCCCGCATCAGGCTCCATGCTGACAATGCAGAGCCTGCTTGGGATTCTCTCCCTCCCTTTCTCTGCCCTCCTCCTACTCTCTCTCTCTCTCAAAAGAAATAAATAAACATTTTTAAAAAGAAAAAGAAAAGATCAAACTGTAGCACTCTATGCTCTAGTCAGGAATTCTCTAAATCCCCCCTAGATCTCGCTCACCTCTCGGTTTTGCCCCAGATTTAGGTGATCCCCTCCGAGAACTCCTACTCAACCATCAAAGCCCGGTTGCAACAGCTGCCTCCTCCAGGAAGCATTCTCTGATATTCCCAGCCTGGTTTGAAAGTTATCACCGCAGTCTGTCTCTGCCAGCCCCACCAGACCGGGGGTTCCCCGAGTTGAGAAACCTGGCCCAACTCCTACCTGGGACTCCAGCCTCACCCAGAACATTTGGAAGCGAGTGAACGAACTAAGGAGACCAATTCCCTAGGCAACAGGCATCATTCACCCAGGATGGGACTGATTCAGGGCTGGCTTCGTGGTTAGGGGAGGAGGAGGCGGTTCCTCTGGGCCTGGAGGATGACCAGAACTTTCTTCCTCCAAGTCAAGAAGAGCCCCCCGCCCCCCCTCCTCAGTATTTGTCTACCACCAGGGCGAAGACCCTAGCCTTCCCCAGCCAGGGCCCCTCACCAGTATTTCCGAGATGTCTGGGTCATCCGAAGCCCAGGGTAGAGTGGGGGAGGCAGGGGGCACCGGCAGTGCAAGCGGGCCACTGTCCTCTGTGGTTGAGTCTGTCCCTGAGGAGTCAGTGGGCTCCATCGCGGCCAGGTTGAGCAGTGACACATTGGTGCAGGCGGAGGACCTCTTGAGGTTCAGGCACCAGTGCATTGGCTTGTGGGACATCCGAGGCTCCACCCTGTGCAGGAGAAACGGGCAGGGGGCTCGAGATACAGCCCCAGTGGGTCCGGTGCCTCCTGCCTCCCTGTCTCCACACCGCCTGCCCTCTCTGACTGCAACCATATCGTCCACTTTCTTCGTCCCCCTCCCTCTCTGCTGCCTGCTTTTCTCCTCCCTCTTTCCACCTTCCCTCGCTCCGTCCCCACGACCCTCTTCCTCTCTACCTCCCTCTGCTGCCACCACCGTCTGGCCTGGCCCTCGGTTGCCCCCTCCTCGTCTCCCCCTCCCCTTCCTCCATCACCCACGGTGGCACTCATGCTCTGTTGGAGGCAGTGCTGGGCGCTAGGACCGTCCCCGACAAGGGTGCGACAAACCCACCCGTGGAACGACACGGCCTTCTTTTTCTTCGTGATCCCCTTGGCCGGGGTGCTCACCCCCTCAGGAGCCTCGGGGACCAGCTCGGAGTGGCCCTCGACCCCCGCTGGGGGGTCCCCGGCCTCATGGATCTCTTTGGATTGCCAGATTGTCTTGACCACCACGCTCGCCATGGCGTGGGGGGGGGGGG